AGGCTCCATCTATTGGTGGGGAGCAACACCTGCTAGAAAACGGATCCAGCGCCCATATACAGATTGGATATAGAATATATCGAAAAAAAACAGTTGCGGGGGGGGTTCCCTGCCAGCATTGATTACCCTGGGATCCAGGGGATTGACTGAGCATGATATTGGAAGGAAGGGGGAACCTCTTCACCCTGAACCTGTCGCCAGATATCTACTGATACACACTAGTTCCTCTCTCCCCCTCCCAGCCCCCAATACTTTCTTGTTTAGAGTCCTCAGGCTGCCAGCATTGACTGCCCCGATCCGTTGTCGAGCGCATCGGTCCGAGACCGCACAAAACCGGTCGGGACCCTCCCAGTCGAGTCACGCAGGAGTTGGTATGATCCTCGTCGCGAATACATATGGACATTCCGCAAGCCACTCCGATCGAGTGCACCATCCATACCTCTCGTGAGCCCCTACGACAAGATAGGGCCTACTCGAGGCACGACTTACCTCCACCTTACGGGAGTTGTCACCTCCCTTCGGTGGGCGTATCCCCGCCGAGCTACCAATCCACATTACGAAAGTTAATCAGTTGCAATCGCAGAGGTGGACCATCCGAGGGCGTTTCTCATACGCTGTAGCATAGGGGGTATGCGCGGTTTTACGCCTCTATCGGACCCGCACGCGAACCAGCGCATTGGGGGGCGGCTGAGGCCCCAAGTGCGGCTCGTCGTCCGTCGACTAGGACGCATCCCACATACCACGCTGACATCACTCTAAAGGACATAAAAATAAAGACACACACACATATACATACATATATAGAACGACACAGATCAAACAACGCAACAACACCCCTAGTCCCTTAGTAGCCATCCCATAACTCTCCGGTACGGAAATCGGATAGGGGTCACACGTGAGACTTAGTACTAAACCGTGCGGACGAGGGACCTTCCCATATCGACTAGTAATGCATAACTACACAAGCAGTCGTGATGATGACGTACTATGTAGTGTCCATAATGAAGCGGTCCCTTGTGGATCTGAGTACCGCTTATGACACTCAAGTGTCAGATTCGAAGTATCGTGAAGGCGTACCCCTCCGCGATATTGCACGGTTGAAGGAACAGCCGTGAGGCCTCCGCGGCACCTCCGACTTTTAAGCTGAGTGTTCCGGCAGGCATGGCAAATATGCTCTGCGCGGGGGGAGATCCCTTCCATGCAGAGTCTATGACCTGGGATGTCATGAACAAGGACCTTGAATCAAGGCCCAGGACCAACGTCCGACTAAAAAATCTTTAAGAAGCACATTACAAATAGAGGGGTTTTCTTTCCTTTCTCAATCTCAATCTCAATTAGACCCTTAAGCGTAGGGTCCCTCGGGCCACGCGGACACCCAACATATGTATATATGTATATATA